AAATGTTAGTTCCGTTTCCTATCATCCTCTGTTCATGAACATCGCAACGAATGTTAGGAATTGACCATGCAAGCGATGTAATGGTTTTTTGTCTTTTTTTATTTCGTGTTAGCGTGGATATTTCGACAATACCAGTAAGATTGTAGAACGACGCACATTGTAGAACATTGTAGAACGACGCACACACTTGCCTCGAATCTCTCCAGCAGAAAAAGCATACGAAGCCGAGTATGCGAGAAAATGAGCGCTTCATGTTTGCTTTTAGGCTATCCATATTCAGGAGCATGGAGAGAGCAGTGGAGAAAGCACAGGTCTGATAATCGAAGCGTTCTTGGTTCGAGTTCAGTCGGCAATCGGATTCCTATTTTTTCGACATAACTAATTTACCTCCCTAATACACTCTAGATTTTTCGGTCTCCAATTTTCTTGCATTGGACCGCAGCTATGTTTATCGCATCCTCGGTTCATGCGGTCTCCACTAACATCCTCTGATGATGAATCCCACATAATTGTAAGCGAATCTTACATCCCTCGGTTGGGTGTAGGCACACTTTGATTGAGCTTGACAGGCACGCTCGGCACAGCGCTTGGCATAGCTTTCGGCACAGCTCAATCACTCGGCACGAATTAAGGTGTGCAGAGTTGAGTATCCTTTGGAAAGCAATGTTCTAGACAAATATGAACAAACTAAAACTACATGTTTTTGCTCAAGACAGTATGTGCTATGTGCATTCCTTGTAAAGTTATAGCACTTTTTGGGGTTTGATAGTTCAAACATGAGCAGTTCTTTGGCAGACAAAAGCTATTGAACACTCCATCTAAAAATGCTAGAACGTTTTTAATCTCACTTGGAGTAAACTCCTTCTCTGTAAAAGGAACTGATAGACTGAGATATTGAAAGTGCAAAACTTGATCTATAGTTGACAAATTTAATTCTGTATCATTTTTGCAAGTGTTCAGGAATATTTTTGTTGAGAAAAAATGCAAAATTACAATAGTGACTTAGTGGTTATGATGTTGCGGATTTCTTGTGTGTGAATAGCTTAGGTGCAAGTCTCACGGCAAATATTTCTGCTCACAACACTCTTTTTGACGTTTTCATATTCACCACCAGATGAATCGATCGCTTGGTTCCTATTAAAAAGGCGTATTTTGATTATTCTAAAAAATCGTTATTCTGTGAAACTATATCTGTACAACGATATCAAGTTCGAAAATAATATAACTCAGTATACCTGGTAACGTTGTTACTGCTGATTGTTGAATTTTTTGCTGATTTTCAGTGTTGCCATTTTGACAGAAGATGGAATTGCTGGACAATTCAGCAGTATCATTATGCTGGATAGTTTGCTAATCTTTCATCAAGTCTAAAACCAGCAAAACATTTCTGATTCTCAGCCATTTAAATTTGGTGTGAGAGACGAATTTAATTGATAATTCAAACTGAATTAAAAAACAAAAGTTCATGGAAAATTTTGAGTTTTGAGCTTTGAAAATTCATTGTAAATTCTAAAAGTAATTTTGATTATGTTTTTACAGATATTTTTATAAGTATTTCAAGGAAATTGTTATACATCATCAAAAACATGCTGACAGAAAACTCAAGTGCATTCTGATTTTTTTTTAAACTAGTTCGTTTATTTGGTAGGCTCAATTGCGTTAGCTTTACGGAGCCAATAGTTCATTGTTCTTTGTTTGTAACAAAATTCACTTAATTCTATGTCTAGTAGGAGTTGGGCCGAATACTCCCGGCTTACTCGAGGTTAGAGAGGTACATTGTCGAAGGATAGGATCAGGGGAGGAGCTTGGGGGTAAGGTTTCGTTGTCTCATCAGAGTGTTGTCGTCAGTGTGAATGGTAGTGCGGTTCTAGTTTCGTCTGGAGTTTGACCGGCTATGGTGACCAGTGGGCGACGATGAGACTCATTGAGACGGGGCGACAAGACAAACAAAAACTATTAAAGGACAAAAGACAAATGAATTAAATTCTTATACTAGACATTTGAAGAAACACATAAACCGACTGCATATAGCAGATATCGCGAGTTCCCAACGCGTCTCTGATAGGAACATAGGGTTGTCTTCCTTGGGCCTCAAGGGTATTCAAAAGTCGCTCTCTGGCGGCGTAATTATCCGTACATTGCCAAACTGCGTGAACGATGTCATCGTTACCGTTTCCGCACCGACAGATGTTGCTGTCCACGAGGTTTATTCTATTGAGATGAGCATCTAGCGAGTAGTGGTTGGACATAAGTCTACTCATCACGTGAATGAAGTCACGACTTAAGTCCAAGCCTGTAAACCACGCTCTCGAAAAAACATTAGGAATAATTGAATGTAACCATCGTCCAAGATTTCCATTGTCCCATTCGGTTTGCCAACTCGAAAGGGTACTCTGACGCACTAAATCGTAAAATTCATCGTGTGAAATTTGCCTGTCGTAAAATTCGCCTTCCTGCGCGCCCACCTTTGCGAGAGAGTCCGCCTTCTCATTGCCTGGGATTGAGCAATGTGAGGGGACCCATACAAAGGTAATCATATATGATATATATGACACTAATCTTCTCCCTTACCTTTGAAAGGAAATAAGATGAGTGCCTACCTTGTTTCATCGACCGAATAGCCTCAATCGAACTGAGACCATCCGAGAAGATGAAGTAATGGTCTGCGGGCATGATGGAAATCATCTCCAATGCGAAGTTGATGGCTGCCAGCTCAGCAACATAAACGGAACAAGGTTCCTAAGGCTTTCGGAAAGCGCTAGAGTTTTCATTGAAGACACCGAAGCCAGTGGATCCATTGAGACGTGACCCGTCTGTAAAATAACTTTTCACGCAATTGACGTGTTGGTACTTTTCAGTAAAAATACGTGGGATAATAATAGGTCGAAGTTGATCGGGAATCCCATGAGTTGCTTGTTTCATGGTCAGATCATATTCAATTGAGGAACTGCGATTGGTGAAGTGAGCACGGTTTGGAGTGTAACAAGGAAGACACATATCTGACGATATGTAGTGGTGGTAGATTCTCATAAATCGAGATTGTGTGTTCAGCCCAAGAATTTCTTCAAAATTTTCAATTATAAGTGTATTCGTCACTCCGCATTTGATTAGTATTCTGAGAGAGAGCTCTCAGAAACGGTTCTGGAAGGGTGTTACTCCTTCCAGAGCCTCGAGATTCATGTTATGCGTTGATTGCATAGAGCCGATAGCAATACGCAGACAACGACATTGAATTCGTTTCAATTTTATTAGGTGAAATTTTCTTGCCGAGAGAAAGCAGAAAGAGCCGTACTCTAGAACAGAGAGAATTGTTGATTTATAAAGCGTTATAAGGTCTCCCGGATGAGCACCCCACCATGTGCCGCAAATTGAACGGAGAAAGTTGATCCTCTGTTGACATTTTTGCTTCAAATACGTAATATGGGTATTCCAAGTGCACTTTGAATCAAACCAGACCCCAAGGTACTTGAAAGACAATGATTGAGTAATGTTTCTGAACAAAAGATTAAGATGCATTTGGGCTGGGTACCGCTTTCGAGTAAACACTACCAGTTCAGTTTTCTGCGGTGAGAATTCGATCCCTAGATTCCTAGCTCAAGAAGACAAGTTATCTAAGGAACTTTGCAATGGTCCTTGCAAGTCCATGGCATGTGGACTTCTTACGGAAACCACACCGTCATCTGCAAGTTGTCTTAGCGTGCATTGTTCTGCCAAACAGTTGTCGATATCTTTGACATAAAAGTTATAAAGAAGAGGGCTGAGACATGAGCCTTGGGGCAGGCCCATGTAGCTAATTCTGGAAGTTGTCAGTTGTCCAAGGGAAAAGTTCATTTGCTTTTATGACAACAAGAAATTATTTAAAATTCCAGAAAGTCCACATCTGTGCAGATTGTCTGACAAAATTTCAATGGAAACTGAATCCTTAATGTCCTTAATGTCCAAGAATACTGAAGCCAATTGCTCCTTTCCATTCACAGCAAGACAATTTAATTCTGTATCGTTAGTGCAATGATCCTGCTGATCTTCTTCTTCTACTTCATCATCTCAAACCTAGTGTTCTAGATGCACTTCCACAGATTATTAATTAAATTTTCGAGAAAATGATCCTTCGGAGACTCGATCAGTGGGTCGAAACAAATAACTATTTGTTTCGACCCACTGATCGAGTCTCCGAAGGATCATTTTCTCCAAAACTTAATTAATAATCTGTGGAAGTGCATCTAGATATAGTTATTTCTATATATTTGGATTATATCTCAGATGTATACTTTTATCAGGAAATGTGAAAATGTGTTCCGCTTGACTAAAAATTATGCCCTCAACACACGTTTCGAAGTTTTTATTTTCACTACCAGATACTGAATCAATCGTTTAGTTTCAACCAGACGCATACTAACATTCGACTATCATATCCTACTAATTATATGCCACGTCTAGGATGTATGTTTATAAGCAAAATGCGAAACTCCTGTAGCTAAGTTTGATAACAGCTACTGATAATAATTATTCAATTATTCAAAACATGCTCCATTACTTACGGAATGCTATAATTATTGTCAAGTAACTCTAAGACAATTGGCTCTATGCAAACGCTGCCATCCGAAGCGGTCCTCAATCAAACAGTATTGCAGAAATCGCAAGCGCCGCTATTATGTCAAGATACGGTCATTGATTACAACGGTGATAGTTTCCAGCAGGTAATTAGCAGTTGTGGCTTCCTGCTTCGATTGCCTTGCTGATCGACTTTTCCCCTTTCGAGTGCAAACGTTGTCACATGTACGCTTAATTCGAGACATTATTTTATCGTATACAACAAGTGTCCAGTGTGCAAATTCCCAACCAGCAATTCGACTGCTTAACTGAGACACATTTAATGGCAAGCAATGGCAACTTGCTTGCCTTATTATGGCACCAAGTTCATGTGCGTTTGTGCGTTTGCCAATTGGCGCAGCCTTATCGAATCGCTCCGATTAATCGCTTTTCCCATACACCTTGCTTACCTTACGAAGTAAACGAACGCAAAGATGAGTAGCCCGGAGGCCAGGCAGATGCTGACAATCATGAACGTATCGTCGGTCTTGTGGGTCATTTCGAATCCACCTCTCATTGTCCGAGTGACTATTTCGCACAATTTTTCGTGCGTGGGTTATCTAACTGTTCGCAAAATCAATTGCTGCCCGAATATGTAACAGACGATCATAATTCAGCACCTGCCGTGTGGAACATCTAGGGCTTCTCTATGTAGGCCCAATAGGTTACTCCTATGCTCACTGCTTCTCTGCTTTGCTTCGGGCGATGCTCACGTTTTTCGATGTGCGGTTGCAAAAATTAATAACGTTCACTTTTTTTTTTGGCACACTTAGCACGGGGTCATTAAAGGCTATGTTGATGATGCAGGTAGTTGACTCCAAAAACTATGAAAACATGTTCCTTCAAGTTGGTAGCATTCAGTCGCTAATTGATTCGCGGGTTTGAATTACACTTTATCTTCCAGTTCGATCTTGATCATGGGAACATCTACAATTGATGCATTGTATATCCGTATTATCGAGTCTCATCCCTTATTTCACTATCTACCACGCATTTCGTTGAATCACTCCAAAAAAACTCAATTTCATATGCCATTAAAAATGTCACACAAATTATCCTTTTCAGGGAAGCTAACTGCCCGTAACTAATCGACACCGGATGCTACGAAATTGCGTGCGCAGTTTGGGACTTGTTAACTTCGAGTAAAATCAAACGGCTAACTCGATCTCAACGCGACGGCCGCGATCGTGCGAATGAGCAGCCCAGGTTCCCACCGCGATGCCGACAGCTCATCAAAAAAGTGTTTGGCGCGTGTTTTGTTCGGTGCGCTGCTACTTAGTCGAGCGTGGGATACGCTGAACAAAGTAGGCTTACATTGTGCCGATCGCGAGTGCGCCCGTGCATGTGCCTGCTGAGATCAATTGATTCAGCCGGACGATGTTGCATGCGTGCGGGAGGAAAATGTTGCACTACATTTCAATGTGGCAGGGGAAATATAGAGTTAAATTGATAATATTTTTCACGCAATGAGGGTACCTATGGGACCGTCTAGGAAGTATCCATCATTGGAGAAGTTGGTGCTCTCACCACGTGGCACTAATGTGCATGTGGACTTTATATATAAGCTATATACATTGATAGGGTAGAGCACTACTTCGGCCTAATCGCCCATTTTGGGCCAATCGAGCAGAAAACACCAAATAAATCCATTGTTTGAGAGTTAACAAGTCAATTCGTACGGTACGATACTTTAGTTCAAAAGCTACCGAACAAAGTCAAAGAGATCGCGTGGTATGAATGTTTACACCCATTTTTCAAAAGAAGCGTACCGACCGAATCAATTTTTATCTTCATCCGATAGGCCGAAGTGAATTCAATGGCGTTTGAATGACATTTCAATGCATTAGCCCTAATTTAGAATCCATGGGGTCAAGAAGCAGTGTTATATTTTCAACAATATCTTAACAATTTGTTTCTCTTTAGCAAATCTTACGGTACGTACGGAATGACATTTAGAAGTCATCCGCAGTGAAAAGATTCCATTTTGTGAAAAAAAAATTCAAGGGACAGCCCAATGTGGTTGTACGCCATGGTGACGTAGGACTACGTGGTCTTATATAATAAACCTTATTTTTTAACTGCAGCAGGAGCTTGTGTTTTGTGTAGGAACAGGAATTTGAGCGGGATTCTCTCTATTTATACTCTTTAGTATGACGTGCTTGACATAGATGGCCCACAGTGACTCACGAAGAGCTACTGATTCCGATCAATAGCGGTGCGGCTTCTTCCTCCGTCTATAGTTGGTCATGTTCACTGCTTGCAGGCAGCCTTTCGTTGTGTACTGGAGAACTATGTTCAACGCACCGCGCAAGAGGCACTGCTGCTGCAGCTGAGCTGATGCCGACAACCGGACACTACCACACATGGTGATTGGAACTGAATTCGATCAGCGGTTGAGGCCAGCCTTGGTAGCTAGCTGCTTGCAGGCAGCCTTTCGTTGTGTACTGGAGAACACCACCACTCACCACGCGGTGATTGAATAAACACCGTTCAGTTAGCCCGGATGGAATTCAACTTTGAAATCTGTGTTAGAGAAATCGGTTTTCGCAGGCAATCGGTGATAATTTTAATTTTCAAAGTAACAGTTGCACAGTCGTGCAATTTTCAGTAGTGACTTATTAAAAAATGATAAAGTTTTAAATTTAACAGCTGCGTTGAAATATATCTGATCGATTGGTGATAAATTATTGAAATTGGTCCAGGGGCAGCTGAGTTATTTACGTTCAAAATCATTCATAATTTTATTACATGTTCCTATTCCGCTACCAAAAAGTGTACTCCCATATCAAAATCACATACATCAAAAAATCCACTCGAAAAATAGAGGCAAAGGGTGGGTTGTGCTTAGTAGGCCCAAAATTATATCTAATATCTAATATCTACAAAATGGTGAGTTGACAACCTGGAAGGAGCGGAATACCTAGCCCTGGTCCTCACAAGTTCCTACTTCACGCCTCCTCGAGTCATATGATAACAAAAGACTACCAGCTGAAACATGGACACAGCTGGGTGGCGTAGCCTGGGCAATGTTGCCAGTCCGACAATAGCAAAGTGAAGAGGTGCGACGCGAACACTGGCGCGGTAACCATAGTACGGTGATAGAGGAAATGCTTCACTAAACCTGAGTGTCTATTCACCATGGAGGTGCGGCTCAAAACGGCGTCTGCTCTCCATGTTAGGAGCGGCTGATCACCGTCCTAGTGCCAGCGTGGGACTCTAAACAGAGCTGTGCACGATGGTCCCCCGGCGAGACAGGGGGTTGGGGCAGGCCCAACAAGCCGCCCTGAAAAAAAAAAAAAAAAACAAAGTTGCAAATACCGAAGAAAGAAATACGGATCGGAACAATCGGCACAGACCTACGCGACGACATAAGGACTACGATTGGAAACTCGGAACATGGAACTGCAAATCGCTCGGCTTCCCGGGTTGCGATAGGTTAATCTATGACGAACTTCAACCACGCAACTTCGAAGTCGTAGCACTGCAGGAACTTTGCTGGACGGGACAAAAGGTATGGAAAAGCGGGCATCGAGCGGCTACTTTCTACCAGAGCTGTGGCACCACCAACGAGCTGGGAACCGGCTTTGTAGTGCTGGGTAAGGCGAGGATGTACAAGTTGAGGATTAAGGGCCGTTTCTTCAACTACAGCATCATCAACGTGCACTGCCCATACGAAGGGAGACCCGACGACGAGAAAGAAGCGTTCTATGCGCAGCTGGAGCAGGTGTACGACGGCTGTTCGCAACGGGACGTCAAAATCGTCATCGGCGACATGAACGCTCAGGTAGGACGGGAGGCAATGTATAGACCGGCAATCGGGCCAAACAGCCTGCATGCCGTATCGAACGACAACGGCCAACGATGCGTGAACTTTGCAGCCTCCCGGGATATGGTAGTTCGAAGTACCTTTTTCCCCCGCAAGGATATCCACAAAGCCACCTGGAGATCACCTGACCAACACAGAAAACCAAATAGATCTCGTTCTAATCGACGGGAAATTCTTCTCCGACATTATCAAAGTCCGCACGTACCGCACTGGGTAATTGCCAAGATTTGGGAGGAGGAGATATTACCGGAGGAGTGGATGGAAGGTGTCGTATGCCCAATCTACAAAAAGGGCGACAAGTTGGATTGCTGCAACTACCGCGCGATCACACTGCTGAGCGCCGCCTACAAGGTACTCTCCCAAATTCTATGCCGCCGTCTGTCACCATATGCAAGAGAGTTCGTGGGGCAATACCAGGCGGGATTCATGGGTGCCCGCGCTAGCACGGACCAAAGTTTCGCGATTCGGCAGGTTCTGCAGAAATGCCGCGAATACAACGTGCCCACATCATTTGTTCATCGATTTCAAATCCGCATACGACACAATCGATCGAGATCAGCTATGGCAGATTATGCACTAGTACGGATTTCCGGATAAACTGATGCGATTGGTCAAGGCGACGATGGATCGAGTGATGTGCGTTGTTCGAGTATCGGGGACACTCTCGAGTCCCTTTGAATCTCGAAGGGGGTTACGGCAGGGTGATGGACATTCGTGTCTGCTGTTCAACATCGCGTTAGAAGGTGTGATCAGAAGAGCTGGGATAGACACGAGTGGCACGATATTCAGGAAGTCCATCCAGCTCCTTGGTTTCGCCGATGACATTGACATTATGGCACGGAACTTTGAGATGATGGCGGAAACGTACATCAGACTGAAGGCTGAAGCTAGACGGGTTGGACTTGCCATCAACGCATCAAGGACAAAATACATGAAAGCAAGAGGTTCTAGGGAAGACAATGTTAGCCTCCCACCCCGAGTTCAGATTGACGGTGACGAAATCGAGGTGGTCGATGAGTTCGTGTATTTGGGCTCACTGGTGACCGCCGGAAATAATTCCAGCAGAGAAATTCAAAGACGCATTATGACAGGGAATCGTGCCTACTTTGGACTCCGGAGGACGCTCCGGTCGAATAAAATTCACCGCCGCACGAAGTTGACTGTCTACAAGACGCTGATTAGACCGGTGGTCCTTTACGGCCATGAGACCTGGACTATGCTCGTGGAGGACCAACGCGCCCTTGGTGTTTTCGAACGGAAGGTGTTGCGTACCATCTACGGTGGAGTGCAGATGGATGACGGAACGTGGAGGAGGCGAATGAACCACGAATTGCACCAGCTGTTGAGAGAACCATCCATCGTCCACATTGCAAAAATTGGGCGACTACGGTGGGCTGGGCACGTCGTAAGAATGCCGCACGACGACCCAGTGAAAATAGTTCTAGAAAGTGACCCAACAGGAACAAGAAGAAGAGACGCGCAGCGGGCAACGCGGATCGACCAAGTAGAAGGCGACTTGCGAACCCTTCGCAGACTATGAGGCTGGCGAAGTGTGGCCATGGATCGAGTAGAGTGGAGACGACTTCTTCGGACAGCAGAGGACAACAAGGCCTTAGCCTGATTGGTAAGGTAAGTATCTAATATCTATCCTGATCATCTAGAAAGCTGAAAGATGAATCAGTTCATAATTTTCTCACTATGCAGCTCTAGTGTGCATGTAAAATTCCAGCATAGACTATATCTCAAGATTCCGAACCACGCACCCCTCATTTTATCTGTCAAACTTTCATAGCTAATCAAAACAAACATAGTTTAGTACTAGAATTTCGACTAGAACGGGGTACGCTTAGAGATGTACTTGGGACCAATATAGGGTGGTCAAGTAGTGAGCCAATTTAAAATCGTTAGTTTTCACCGGTTGGTTCTACCAACAATCAATACGAAACTAACGATTTTAAATTGGCTCACTACTTGACTAGCCTATTGGTCCCAAGCAAACGATTAACGTACCCCATTCTAGTCGAAATTCTAGTACTACGCAATGTTTGTTTTGATTCGCTACAAAAGTTTGACAGATAAATGAGGGGTTATTGGTTTTTCTTATCTTTCGAGGGGTGAATCGATTAGCTTGGGACCGAAGAGAGTACCAGAGCTGAGCCAAAAAGTTGAGCACGTTATTTCGGGACCTTCTAGTCTTAGAGTTACCTCTATGGTTCTACCATAGAGGCAACTCTAAGACCAGAAGGTCCCGAAGAAACGAGCTTAACTTTTTGGCTCAGCTCTGGTACTCTCTTCGGTCCCAAGCTAATCGATTCACCCCTCGAAACATAGGAAAAACCAATAACCCCTCATTTTATCTGTCAAACTTTCATAGCGAATCAAAACAAACATAGTGTAGTACTGGAATTTATACTAGAATGGGATACGTTAGTCGATTTGCTTGGGACCAATAGGCTAGTCAAGTAGTGAGCCAATTTGAAATCGTTAGTTTCGTATTGATTGTTGGTTCTACTGTGTCGATTCAACTCACCCCTGATCTGGCAGTCAGTGTTCAATTTACGTGACATCGAATAGAGCAAGTCCAACATGGACCAGCTTTTTTATCGTTCACTTCCAGCGAATCCTAACACATAAAGTAACCAACGATAAAGCAAAACGCTTGCTTGTACTACCATGATAAACTCTCTGATGGAAGTTGTAGAAGGATAATGATAAACTCAGGCTGCATCACAATTGGCGAGTTAAATTTAACTCGTGGTTAAATGTGACAGACTAGAAGTTAAATTTGGCTGAGTCCTGTTTGAAAACAGATCGATCGAGATTTTCGGACATTAAAAATAACTTTCGAAATGTCACTTTTAACCACGAGTTAAATTTAACTCGGCAATTGCGACACAGCCTCAGCATCATTTTTTTTGAACCCTATTAAACCGAATGTTTCCATCGAGTCACCCCTCGTGTACCAACACTATTGACGAGTGCACGGGTGAACTTTTGTTCATCTATTGAACAAAAAGTGACACAACAGCGGGGCCCTGTTTACTAATTATGAACACATGAATAATGCTCACGTAACATTTGAAAAGGGCATATCAATTTTTGTAAATAATTTGCTAGGTCCTTTCCACGAGAACCGAAGTACGTCCACGCAAACCAAGAGCTCTGTCGGTAAGAGGGGAATTTCCCCTACCCGATGGAGATGTTAGTTTGCGTGGTCGTATTCGGTTCGCGCGAAAAAGGCTTAGCAAGTTTTGTGTACGAAAGTTGATAGGCCGGTTTCAAATGTTACGTGAGTATTATTCATGTGTTCATTTATAGTAAACACCCAACAAACAATTTTAGCTGCAGATTAGCTTATACAGTCAAAATTTGCTTATGCAGCTAATTTTTGCCTGTATAAGCTAGGTTGCAGCTAAAATTGTTTGTTGGGCAGGGCCCCGCTGTTGTGTCACTTTTTGTAGAGTGAGTGAACTCAAATCCATCCGTGCACTCGTCTATTGACGAGTGCACGGATGGATTTGAGTTCACTCACTCGACAAAAAGTGACACAACAGCGGGGCCCTGTTTACTAAAAATGAACACATATATGTTCATTTTTAGTAAACAGGGCCCCGCTGTTGTGTCACTTTTTGTCGAGTGAGTGAACTCAAATCCATCCGTGCACTCGTCAATCGCACGGGGTTAGATTTTGACATTTCTTCTTCACTCAACGTTTGTTTGTAAACATTTCGCTAGTCTAAACACTGCCGTGCTGCGTACGGTAGTTATGCCATCATTAGTTCGCTGATACATTAATTGAAAATGTGGCTTAAAGTTCCTTCAATTATCAGATTAAGCAAACGATTTCCGTTGAATACCAACCTAATCAATCGGTAAGTACTGCTGAAAGTGTACGAAAATAAGTATACAACCTATAATTTTAGTTACTGCACCTTATCCGGTGGCGGTGATGATCAGCCACCGCTGTACGACGTGGTCGTCGTCGGTGGCGGTCATGCCGGTACGGAGGCATGCTCGGCTGCGGCACGGATGGGAGCTCGCACGTTGTTGATTACCCACAAACGGGAAACGATAGGGGAGATGTCCTGCAATCCTTCGTTCGGTGGAATAGGGAAGGGACATCTGATGAGGGAGGTCGATGCACTGGATGGTGTCTGTGGACGATGTTGTGACAACAGTGGCGTTCAGTATAAGGTGCTGAATAAGCGGAGGGGACCGGCGGTGTGGGGTCCTCGGGCACAGATTGATAGGAAGCTGTACAAGGCGGAGGTTCAGAGGGAGTTGGAATCAGCTCGAAACCTTGAGATTGTGGAAGCTTCCGTAGAGGATATCATTCTTGAAGGGAGTGGTGATACATCCAAGAGCAAAATTAAAGGAATCAGTTTGAAGAATGGAAGTGTTGTTTGGACTAAATCGTTGGTAATCACAACGGGCACGTTCCTTCGAGGTCAAATCAACATCGGGTTGAAGACGATACCTGCGGGACGAATCGGAGATGAACCTGCAATTGGACTGGCGAAAAGCCTTGAAGATTTGGGCTTCCGAATGTCCCGTCTGAAAACGGGAACTCCACCTCGAATCAAGGCGTCTTCAATCGATTTTAACATACTGGAACGCCATCCAGGTGATAATCCACCGGTACCGTTTTCGTTTATGAATGATCGCGTGTGGTTGAACAAAGAGGATCAGCTGGACTGCTTCCTAACGCACACTAGTCAGGATGTAAACGAAATAGTCACGCGGAATTTACACTGCAATCGCCATGTTACTGAGGAGTTGACTGGGCCACGGTATTGTCCCTCGATCGAATCGAAAGTTCTTCGATTCGGTGGAAAGACCCATCAGATTTGGTTGGAACCGGAAGGATTCGATAGCGATTTGATCTACCCGAATGGGCTATCCTGTACTCTTCCGGAGGAAGAGCAAGTCAAGTTGGTTCGCTGCTTGCGAGGATTGGAGAACGCTGAAGTGGTCAGACCAGGCTACGGAGTGGAATATGACTTTATTGATCCACGGGAACTGTTTCAAACGTTGGAAACCAAACGGGTGGAGGGGATGTTTTTCGCAGGACAGATCAACGGAACGACTGGATATGAGGAGGCGGGTGCGCAAGGGATTCTGGCGGGTGTGAACGCCGCTGCAAAGACTCTGAAAAGGAATCCGCTGACGATCAGTCGAACGGAGGGGTATCTTGGAGTGTTGGTGGATGATTTGACGACTTTGGGGACAAACGAACCGTATCGGATGTTTACCAGTAGAGCTGAATTTAGACTGAGTTTGCGACCGGATAATGCTGATTTGAGATTGACGGAGAAAGGATATCGGTTGGGGTTGGTTTCAGAGGAGCGGTACCGAAAGATGGCGTCGATGAGAGAGCGGATACAGAAAGGTGTTGAGCTGTTGAGTGATATCAAAAAGGGTAGCAATACGTGGAAGGAGCTTCTGGGTCTACAGCTAGGGAAGGTAAGCATCCATAAGAGTGCGTTCGAAATGTTGGCCATTACTGTGGAGGATATTACGACGGAGAATTTGTGTGATTTGGCACCGGAGGTGCTCGGTTGGATCAAGGAAGATCGAATGCTGTGTGAGAGACTGAAGGTAGGTGTTTTTTTAGTAGGTGAGAGTCAAGTTTGTGACTGAAATTTTTGTTAAAAAAAATTTAGATTGAGGCTCTGTACAGTCTCTCGATTCAAGAGCAAGCAAAGGAAGTCGCTGAAGTTCAAAGGCACGAGCTGCTACAGATCCCTACTTCAATTGATTACCTTTCGTAAGTTGATCAGTTTTTGTACTGAGTAATGTTTAGCCCTAAGATTAAGAATAAAAAATTGAATCAGTTTTCATTTAAATTCCAGGAGAACTCTCAATCTTTCCTATGAGGAACAGGAAAAGCTCGTCCATATTCAACCACAAACCGTGAGTATTTTATGCTAATAGTGATCACTTCTGGTACGGAATGGAATCCTTATATCGCCTGTTCCGTTAACAGATTGCCGCAGCTAGTCGAATCCAGGGAATCACCCCATCCACGATTGTCCGCCTGGTGAGATACGTTAAACAGCAGGAGATGGCTGCCCAGTGCTGATCCAATCGCTAGAATATGGATTCCAAAGAAATACGCTTCCCCAGTGTTTAACACGGAGTACCGGACAACTTTTTACTCAAACAAATCGTTTATTAATAGTTTAGTTTTAAATATAAATAAATAGTTGTTTATATACACACATTTCTTAATCTCTAAACAAAAAAAACAAGATCAGAATAAATTCCTAACTTCAGTTACAATAAAGAGCGATAACAAGTGGGTTTGTTCATTCCTAATTCTTCGAAGAGGTATCTTTGTGTCTGGTTTCGGTTTCTTTCCCCATATAATAGTCAACAGGTGAGTAACTATGTTTAAGTAAAAAGAAAAGAGTGTCACTGGCCCATGTCGGTTCCCCTCGTCTCGTAAGGCAGCATTATACAGGCAACGCTGGCGCACACGGCGAAGAACCCGTACACGGACACGGCACTCCAAATGGACGATTGAAATAGGACTTGTGCCACGTAAGGCGTTGCCATGGCACCCAGCCGAGCGAGTGCCGAACAGCCGCCTACTCCAATCGAGCGCAGCGCCGTAGGGTATACTTCCGGTGTGTACACGTACGCCGCTTGAAAGAGACCCGCAATGACGCCGCGGGCCATGAATAGGATGATCGTGAGGAAGACGCGACTGAAATTAATAACAGACAATTACTAATCCTTTTTCGGGAGGGAGCATCCAAATGCAACTTACACATCAGTAACGGTGATCAGCAGAACGCATCCCGCGTAGACCAGAAACTGCAAGGCCATCGTTTTCTTGCGGCCAAATCGCTCGATCACGTAAATGGTAGTGAAAATTCCCGGGAACTCCGCCAATGTCGTCCACAGGAGATCCATATAATCGGTTGTTGCCAGCGGATGACAATCGTTCTCCGTTTCCGGCACGACGGTTTTGTTCTTACCGCCAAACAGCTCCGTGGACATCAGCACCAAACCGTAGTAGCAGAAGGCACACGACATCCAAATGAACCACAGCAGAAGGGTGGTTCGCCGTAGAGAGCTTCCGAGTAGAGCCTTGAAGCTTCCGCGGGATCCGCTAGGACCTTCCACGACCAACCGCCCCAGGAGCATGGGTCGCTTGTTGTCCTTGGCGATCTGCTCGAGGGTGCTCAAAGCCTTGTCGCTCTGGCCGCTGGTAACGTGATACCGAGCCGATTCTGGTAACCACTGAAATGATTGGTTAGTAGTGATAAACCTAAATGGGAAATTTATGGGATCTTACTGGAGTAATCACGGCGAATGCAAACAACGGTGCAGCAGAGAGACCCAACAGCCAGCGCCAACCTAGGTTGGGCCCAACGGCCAGTGCCAGGGCCACCTCGAAGCAGGCTCCCAGAGCCCAGAAACACTGTTGATATATGGGACATTTTTAAGTTGAACAGGTAATAATGAATGGTGGAACTCACGTCTAGCAGAACAACACACTTGGCCCGTTGCTTTGTGGGGAGGAACTCAGCATACAGAGTTACACTAGAAATATAAATCCGTTAGGAAATGTGTAGTTTTAACGTGGTTTAAAGTAATAAAAACAAATAAGCAGTTATCGATGCGTTAAAATTCCCTTGACTGGTGCTAGGCAGAGACTGGTGGAGATGGATATAGAGAAGGTCACTACCGCACCAGATTAGATTCACTACGCACCAGATACGTGTATTCCATTAAACGGGAATATTTTCGCATGCCTCTCATGGTCGTGGTTGCGGTGGTATTCGAATTCATTGGCAACTCATAGGTACTCGCTAATCGATCTCAGTTGATGCACATATTCATGGTCCCATCTCAAGTAGTGACCATTAGTTAACAAGACGAACAGTTTTCTTTTAAACGTTACCAAGTTTTCGCGTTGGAAGTTGTCCGGTTATCTCGTGTGTGACGAAATCGCTCAAGGGCCAAGCAAAGGATTGAAGATCCCGGTGAAGGAAGCTCGGGTGGTGTGCCTATTTCAAATAGGTTCGCCACTCTACCCACCGCTGGTGGTAAAAATACATCCCTCAATATGCTCATCGCTAGTTTCGCGTCGATTTGCATCAAAGCTGAGTACAAAGTGAATTTTTCACCAAGGTGATGAACCGCACGAGAGCGGAATACAACCTGGCCGTAAATCACCTGAAGGATTCCAAGGCAGATTTCTTCACCCATGATATTCCCGGTGAAAAATCCCTTCAAGGTGGTTATCCGAGGTCTACCGAGCTACGACCCAAAGTTCATCTCGGATCAAATCAAGGACCACTGCAAGCTGGTCTCAACTGCCGTCTACCGGATTACGCGAAGGGACTAGAACACGAAAAAGTACCCGGATTGCCTTTTCCTGGTACACTTCCAGAAGGGAACAGTGACGATGAAGGCTATTCGCTCCATCATCTCCATCATTGTGAGATGGGAGCTATACCGTGGCGGCCGTCACGACGTCACCCAGTGCCAGCGTTGCCTGTATTTTGGACACGGCACCCGAAACTGTCACATCAAGCCGCGGTGTGGCAAATGCACACAAAACCACGTTACCTCTGAGTGTGTTGTCGATGAGGCGGAAGCGATAAAATGCGGTCATCATGGGTCCGACAAAAAGTGCCCCAAACGCGAGGATTTCAAGCGGATCCGAAAGTAGGCGTCCACAAGAAACCAACCAGGATGAAAGAAGGAAAACACTACGATATTCAGGGTGGAAGACTTCCCGCCTCTTCATGCTACGCAACACGGTCAAGCAAATTCACGGGTACAATTCGGCCCCCGTCAAGAAACGTCTTGTCCCTCAGCTGGCCAAAGTTCTCCATCCCCCCTGGATTCTGGAGACAACCACCAGCACAAAACGCCAATCCCGATCTCTTCTCTGCGGATGAGCTGATGGAGGTATTCGTCGACATGTCCAGCGCTCTTCGTCAGTGCCGCAACAAGCCCGAACAGATCCAAGGGCTCGGTAAGTTTATCATTCAGTATGGCGTCTAAGCCGTTAACTATCGTCACTTGAAACGTTTGCTCTGTACGAGCAAAAAAGTTCGAACTTGCTGACTTCCTCCGCAAGCACAACATCGACATGGGCCTCCTAACAGAGACCCATCTCAAATCCGGCGACAGCTTTTGGTTGCCTGATCACAACATTATCCGACTTGATCGCACCACCCCCCGGTGGTGTTGTGGTCATCATCAAGTTCAATCAATCATCAAGTTTCACACCCTGCCCCACATCCGCACAAACGTCCGGTTCATAGCTGTGTATTGTCCTCGCCAGTGTGCTGCCAGCAACAGATTAGGGATGAAATTCAAGAATGACCTCACCGTTATCACTCGCACGAGCTCCCGATTCATTGTTGGGGGCGACCTGAATGCTCATCAGGAAGCATGGCGCAACTACTAACGGAATCAGAACGGTAGTGTACTATTCGACCACTCGCAGCATGGCCTGTATACAGTGCAATTTCCAGATGAACCGACATTCATCTCTCCGGGGGGAAACCCTTCCACGCTGGACTTCTTCTTGACGAACTTCGGGCAATCCAAGCCGGTGGCAATCAACGATTCAAGCTCCGAACACCAACCGGTGGTGGCTGAGCTCGGCGTCAACATAGCTCCTGCTCCAATCCTACGAAAAGACTATTACCACGTCAACTGGGTCCAGTTTGGACGTGTGGTTGACCGGACATCGACGAAAATCCGCCACTTGACACCGTAGAGGACATCGATCGGGCACTGGAAGGACTTCACCAGGCCATATCCGTGGTCGACGAGACGTATGTTCGTCAAGTTCTCGTGAAGGATAAGATTGTTGTCATTGATTCCCACACCCAATTATTGATTCGTTTAAGAAATGTTTGTAGATGCCAGTTTCAGAGATCTGGGCAAAAACCGTGAAATGGCCGATCTGAACAAGGAGATTGCTTCCAAAATGGTTTCCCTCCGAAACGAAAAGAATTTGGGCGACCACTTCAGTCCATTTTGGAAGGTCTTGAACCACCTCTCAGAGCCGAAAATGATGACGATTGGCTCAAAATCACCCCGCAGGAGAAAGCAAATACAATTGGCAACCACATTGCTTCGTCGCATCTACTTGGCTCCATCATCCATAGTCCGCTGAAAATCAGGTTGCACAATGTGTACAAAACTTGGATGACTCTCCTTGTGTCTGTCCTTCCAGCAGAAAATATTACAGTGGAGCAGATTTGCTCAGCGTATAAAACACCAAGAACATGAAGGCTCCCAGGTTTGACGGTATATTCAACTTGGTATTGAAGAAGCTGAGCACGAAAGTGTACTCGCTTTTGACTGCTATCTTCAACAGATGCTTACAACTGCACTACTTTCCAAGTATCTGGAAGGTTGCAAAAATCATACCAATCCGCAAACCCGGTAAAGATCCATCACTACCTTCCAGCTACAGACCAATCAGCTTCCTTTCAGCGCTGAGCAAATTGTTCGAGAAACTAATTCTCAATCGATTGCTCAAGTTTGTCGAGGAGAACAACATTCTCCTACCTGTACAGTTTGGGCTTAGGAAGGGGCATTCCACAAATCACCAACTAGTTCGGGTGATGAATAACGTTCGAAGTAACAAAGCTGTATCCAAGTCCACAGCCATGGCATTGCTAGACGTTGAAAAGGCGTTTGACAATGTTTGGCATGACGGACTTGTGTACAAGCTTTGTAACTTCAACTTTCCTTTGCATCTTGTTAAAATCACCCGTAGCTACCTTCAGCAAAGGTCGTTTAAGGTATCGTTGAATGGTTGCAATTCAAACACGTTCTCCATCCTAGCAGGATTTACTTCTATGGTATAAACACTGAAGCACTTACTGTACGAATTGGAATTTACAGAGAATGCTACAATGCATAATCACGATGGTGTTTCAATATGATGTCTGTGTTTGGGAAACAATCACAAAATGAAATTTTGATTGCCTTTCTTTTTGCACACGCCGGTAAGCTACACTGACTCCTCCCATCATGAGTAGTTTGCTTTCAAGTAGCGACACTCTCCTTTTGCATAGTTTGCCAATGTCAATACCTTGCAAGCAAAGGTGGTGTGCAACCAAGAGGTACTCGATTATGATGACAGGGTTTGGGAAGAACGTTTATTTCATGACAACAGTGATAAATTATCACTTTTTATTTGTACAATGGACAATGCTTGACATAATTACTTATTCAACAGTTTCTTGTTGAAAATCATCAGTCGGAATCATTGCCATTGATGCGTAGAAATATTTCTGATCGATTGGTGATGAAATTATTGAAATTGGTCCAGGGGCACCTGAGTTATTAATGTTCAAAATCTTTCATAATTTTGTTACATGTTCCATTTTCGGTTTTCGCAAAGTGTACCCCCATATAGAAATCACAGGCGTAGTCCTACGTCAAAAAATACACTGTAGTGTTGGCGTTTTTAATCAAAAGAACATTATTGAAGAACGTATCCTTCTATGTAGCACATATAACGAGAACTTTATTCCATAAAAGTTGATAAAACGTAGTATCTGCATATTATAACTAAATAGTTAACCATTTTCAAGAGATTGGCAGAAAAATATTGGTGAAGACACGTTTAACTGGTGAGCTCTAATTCCTCGACAGCTATCAAAAATGTAACTGATCTATACATAAATCACTGGGCGTTAATGGGTCAACTGACAACTCGTGCCAAGGAGTATACCAAATTGGTAACAAGTTCTGATACCCGGTTATCAAGATTTGATTACTGAACATGTTAGCATTGTGGTGGAATTAACAGAAACATTACAAAAATTTTAACAAAAGATTACTTCTGGGATATCACAAAAATAACTGATTTAGTTATCATTGAAAACATCCTGATAACAAATCCTGTGATCCATGCCAATTTTTTCAACAAATTGCAAATTATTTTATCGATTCGGTATTAAAGCCTTACGTTGATAACTGAAACATGATTGACAGTGATTTTTGTCTCACGATATTCTTTCATGATAGTAAAATTATTCGATCTTGGTAACTAAATTAGTTATCCGATAACATCTGAAAACTAAATGATATCTGGAATAACAAGACTTGTTTACAAGATGATATCAAGTTGTTATTTTACTTTGCTCGGGTAAACCCCAAGGCTGCAAACAGCGCGTCGATGCATGTTGACTAGAGTGATGCAAAATTTGAAATTTTACCTCCACAATACTTAAACCACAGACAAACAGACATAACTCTCGCAAGTTGTTCATCGAACAAGCATTTAACGGTCAATTTAAAAGCATCGTAGTTGGTAGTACCGCACCCTGTGGCGCGCATAGTCAATTTCCTTGCGTTTGACGTTTACACACTACCGCCATCTGTTCAGCGTACTACCCACCACCGTGTACTCAACAGATGGCGGTAATGTTTTAGCGACGATGTTTTACGGTGAGAAATATTCAATGAGTTATGTCTGTTTGTCTGTGCTTAAACGATTCCAAATCGCATCCTGACTAACCTCTCAAAATTTGAACCCATTTGGTGAGAAACTGAGATGGCACAAACCATTTGAAGTTTGTATGGGAATTACTATGGTAAAACCAAGATTTTTGTTCATGTCTATCTAATAATTCACCATATCGGCCTGCTTCAGAAGCTTTCAACTGTATTTGTAGGAAATTTTCCCAGCTACAACTTTGCTCAAGACCATTTTTTGATCAAATTCAAGGATCGTTATCAATGGTTCAATGCGCTGATGTCTTATGATCATACTCAATCAACTGCTCAGCAGGCAACATTGGTGTTTCTGGGGCGTTGAGCAGGACACAAAAATCATGGCTACTATGCCACACTGCAAAATACAGTGTTGCCTACAGAGCAGCTGCTTGATCATGTCATAAGTTTACCAATCTCTTAAATAATTTATAACTTTTTCCTTGTTCGTTTTACGTAGAAACGATCTTGAGCAAAGTTGTAGCTGAGAAAATTTTCTATAAGAATAATTACCGAACTGTTTCGCAGCGTAATATGGAAAAAGACTAGAAGGCATTTACATGTAAACTTCAAATGGCTTGTGCGAAGTCTGTTTCTAACCAAATTAGTTGTAACTTTGGGAGGCTAATCAGGACCCGATTTGAAACCATTTAAGCACTGTTGAGCGAAAAAGTCAAATTTTGCATCAGTCTAATGTTGACATGGCTGGTTCTCGGCAATGCAATGATCAATCGTTATGATTCAGCCACCATTCGAAAGGTATGGCTATCTACTTGCATTTGTTATGAGTAGAAGCCCGATTAGACCTGTGGTTGGCCAGTGGGGTCGAAGAAAAAACCTGGAAAAGTCCAGAGCAAAATGTGTGTTGATTCATGTTGGCATGACCGGTTCTTGGCAATTTGGTTACCAATTTTTAATTTGAGTTACTTCTTGAAAGGCATGACTATCTACTTACGAACGGAACAGACAGGGAACTGATTGGAACTGTGGTTGGCCAGCCAGAATGGGAAAACCTGTGAGAAGTGGTCAATTCCTGATAGTAGAAACGATCCTCTGGATATCCGGAATCACCGGGATTTCCAGGTCTTTTTTAAGGAACTGGCCATTTTCCCGGTGATTCAGAATATCCAGAGGACCGTTTCTGACCTCCAGGTAGCAAAATTGATATGATGATGGCATATTTTCTCTATGCTCATGATTGTATACAATTAGGAAAAAAACCTTGGATCTCTAGGTCTACTCTCAGGAATTGACCATTTTATCGGTGAAGGCTAATTTCCGCAGAGCCACATCTCACTCATCCTTTCAAAAAGTGGCACAATCTAAAAATTAGGTAACCAAATTTCCGAGAACCAGTCATGTCAACATGAATCGGCACGCTGTTTGCAGTCTTGGTACTTTGAGGAAGTTTTGATGGCTTGGGGTTTTGTCAGTTAATCAGGGAAAAAATATCAAAACCGGGAAGATATTGTATACTCACGATTGAGGAACACATCCAATAGCAAATCCCACTAGGCCACGCAATAGTAATAACCATCCGAAACTTGGCGCCACAGAGCTCAACAGTCCATATAGGAACAGTAGAACACCGCATAACGTTAGTGCCTAGAATTTAGTAAAATAATCATTAGATGAATAGCTACTACTACCTATGTATGTGATAACTTACCGGCTTCCTCCCGTAGCGATCACTCAAATGCCCCCAAAAGGTTGAACTCAGCATCATCCCCAGGAATACAACCGTCGTAACCAGTGCCTGCTGGTACCTCGTAATACCCCAATCACAGTGCAGCGCCGGTCCGAGCACACTCAGAATGGTCATCTCCATCGAGTCGGCCATCCAACAGAGTCCCACACAGAGGGACAGCTTCACCTGGAACCATCCAAAGCCCAGTGCATTGACGGCCTGGGTCACCGTGAACGTATCGTCCGGAACCACACTGACCGAGGCCAGTTCGAACTCCGGCGGTGCTCCCCCGTTGCCGTTGATCGGACTCGTCGGGTCATTGCTGCCCGTGCTTCCGATCGGCGATGCCCCATTGGCTCCTCTGCGCCCCGTTGGTGTCACTCCGTAGTTGGGCACATTGGAGCCATCCATCTCCTCGTAGCCCCGGGACGTACCCGGGCGCCGTGGTTTAATCATCGTGGCACGCTGCCTTATCAAATTTTCACCGCTTTTCTCGTTGCTGCTGCTGCTGCTACTGCTACTGCTCTTACTGCTGCCGAGAGAAGAAATTGGGGTTACTGGCTTGTTCCACTGTTGAGCTTCTTTTCATTGCTGATGGTCGGCTTTCTTCTGCCAAAATTATCCGATTCATCATGTTCTTCTAGCTCTCGCCTCGCTGTCGTGTGTCAGTGACGACGAGACGCTTCGGAAACATTAACCTCTCTGCTTTAATTGGTTGTAGAAAATGCACCCGCCCGCATAGCAATAATAATAATAATAACAACAACAACTGAGATAATGAAAAATATGTTTTCCTAGGACTGAAAGGGAATGCGATTAACAATGAAACCTTGCACGGCCGATGAGAGTTACTCAAAATTGCAAATAGTAGGGTTATTTATTTAAAAAAAAAAAAAAAAAACTTCTTTAGTATGAGTAAAATCTATTTTTCAACTCACTGAGTAGCCCCGCTTTTTTTTTAATTTAGAGTTGAATTTGACTCAGTTACTGCGTTACTCTCACCGGTCGTGTGCAAATTTCCTCTGCCCATTCCTCGGTTGGAAGTGCAATTCGAGGAGATGCACATTTAATGGTTTTTAATGGCCGTGAGAAAAGTCATGGAATCGATTAAAATTCATGCATTATGTCAATGTCGATCAACATCAGTGAGGTTCCAACAGCTATAGCAATGAAAAGCTTTTGAGTGGGTTGTGTTATTTAATTTTAATTCCGTCGTAGTTGCTTATCTATTGACAGATACGCATATTTCGTATACTAGGGGTGAAAAATAGATTTTATTTAAATCGTCATCATTATGAAGCACCATGAGCTGTACTGAAATAATCACGTAACTTCTACGTGATAACCCAGTGACGTTGAAGCTCACTCAAATGAGTATCACGTAGCGTTTACGTGAAAAGTGAAAATCTATGAAAATTTTTCCAAACTTCCCATGCGTCAAAATTTCCGCAACTCCCTGATAGGTGGATCGACCCTCCCGATTAGCATTGTTTTCATTTTAGGGAAATGAGACGACCGCTCCAGCAGTCTTGGCTGTTGTCGCGCCATCCGAGCATGTCTGTTTGTTTGTGAAACTGCTCGTGATGCATATGAATATGAAATATGACTTTCGCACCCATTTGAATCAAATCAAATGCATTGACGGGGAGGATCGCAAACACTCCCCCATGCACACCGTCATCGACCGATTCGAAATCTTTTCCAAAGCGCTGACGTCGATCTGTTATTTTTTTCTACATTCCTCCCTCCCTTTCTCCGAAAACTGGAAAACCGTAACGTCTTCTTTTCCCGAAAACAGTTGCGGTTAGATTGCTTTCTTTTCGGGCACTGACTCCAGATTTTAGCATCAATTAGCACTTGCTTGCCCAATTTTCGCTTTGCTTGCAGAATAAACACACTCGGTTTCCGACATTAGGGCGATCGTGTACAGTTATAGAAAGTTAGTTAGCCGCCCAAGATGTCTACCACCCTCTGATTGCATTTCCCCCTGTGATCCCGATGATCGCATTTCACTTGCGACAAAGTTGTGCCTCACCAGATCCTGCCCCAATTATGCAGAGCTCCATACGCAGTTAGAAAATCGGAAAGTGAGAATCGATTTCAAAACCAATCACCGAATCGATCGATCCAACTGGACGGGAACGGGGGACTACCTGTTGATACTGATGATGATGATGATGGTGGTGGTGGTGGTGGTGCAGGGGCAGTGGTGCGGAGGAAACGTATATCCACATCTCCTTGCCTGTACGAGGTATGGATTCGCGCGCGCACTTCTACCGATACCGAACGATGTTGAAACAAGACTAAGGTTTTGCAGTTGGAGCGATCGTGTGAGGATCGCGACGGTGTTAGGTAGTGTTTGTGTAAGAAATGCACACGGGAGAAACGTCAAGACGGAGCGATAAATGACTTAAGACAGTGAGGCGGTAAGAAAACATCGCCCAGGTAAGACACAGGTAAGCGGAACAGGGTGGTCCGAAGAAAGACCAAATGAACGAGGGATCGTGTTTTGAGAAAATCTCAGTAGGATGGGTGTTCCATTAATAGTGGTGTACCTACAAGTTGCGGTATGGAGGTTGTGCCGGAATAGTGAGGAATATAACAACCACAGGCCAAAACGAAGTTGAGTGGAAAAAGATTTTCAATTATTACGGTTCACTACGGGGGAACGCAGCTCACTAAAGATGATTGATGCAACCATAACAAGAAATGGGATAACAAAGTTCAGTAGAAGTATGCTACGAAGTGTACCTTATCAGCAGCAGCAAGCATCAACATTGACATTGACAGAATCCGTTAAAACGAAAATTATGGATTTTTTTTAAAAAAAGTGTTATTGGCAATATTTAACTCAGGAAACTTCTAATGAGATGCAATATATTTACTGATATGGCACTCCACAGAATGAAAATTGACTTGCGGAAATACACGGTGCCAATATAACCATCTCCTACGACGGTAGTGGTAGGAAAGCACTGGTGTCTAGCCCATTTTGCGGTACCATTGTTATGATTTGTCCAGAACCGACGGGAACATGGAAAGCGTTAAAGTTTTCTGCTCACATCCGTTCAAAGCATTTGTCTGAACCGAACTCCAAACAACCTAGCCAAAACCGTGGAACAGAGCGGCCATTTATGATGAGCAAAATGCACAAAGTGTTCTCATCGAAGAAGGAATGAATGGATAGAGGAACGATTCAATAGAAAAGAAGATGAATGCAGCGAACAAGAAGAAGAGACGCAAAATCAGAACAGTGAGTTTCAGGAGGTAGCACTCAAAACTGCACATGCGATTTCAGCAAACTGGGAAAACGATGAAGACAGCCGAAAAGAAGAGGCGAACGATGAAATTGATGTGGGAAACATGAACGTGGAGGATCGGAAATTAGACCAGATTACTGGGCCTCAGAAAGCAGCACTCGAGCCAATTTGGATATAATTTTCAAATATTTTAGCAGAATCAGATAATCCTAAAAATTTATTTTGGGCGGTAAGTTGAGCAAGCCCTTAGTTTGATGTCTCCCATTTTTTTTAAAGATCAATTATTTCCTTAATGAGAGAGAAAGAGAGAGAGAGAGAGAGAGAGAAGGATTAGTAATTTCCATTTAATTCCACTACCTTATTTGCTCATCCTTAACAGATACGTGTATTTCGTCTACAATGTGCAGACTTCTTCAGTGTCTTGTACTAATACTCGACTAGTCTCAAGTATTAGTATCGTACTAGTCAAGTATAAGTACAAGACACTGGAGAAGTCTGCACATTGTAGACGAAATACGCGTATATGTCAAGGATAAGCAAATAAGGTAGTTATTCCGTTATCTCTCTCATTATACAAGTATTCCACTAAGACGCCCATATTCATTAGGAATTATTTCCTCGTAACTATCCCAGGACTTCTCCAGAGTTCTCTTCAAAATTTCCCGGATGGATTTGATTTCTGATTTTCCCCCTGACAAATCTTCCACAACCTTCTAGGCAGGGTTACTTCCACTCACTTGCTATAAAAAAAAATGTTTTTCAGAATTATGAAATCATGAGATGGTATAGTGATAATTAGTGCTTGTAAGTTACAAGATGAGGACGTGAAGTATGTGTTTGACACATAAAATCTGTCAATATTGCTTTCAGTGCGTCACAATCAGCAATTTTACGACTCGTGAGTGCTCACTCTGAGTGAACGCTCACGTTTCATAAGATCGCTTATTGTGACGCTCTGAAAGCAAAATTGGCAGGTTTTATGAGTCAAACACATACTTTAAACCCTCGTCTCGTTACTTACAAGTACAGCATATCATTATACCATCTAATGATTGCATAATTCCGAAAAATATGTTTTTATAGCAAGTGAGTGGAAGCAACCCTGCTTCTAGGATTTCTATGCCTAACATTCTCCGAAGAAGTCATATGCAATTTATGTGCGTGTGGCAGTGGTTATCACGAGATCGAGCATGTTGTTTGGTCATGTACCCTACACCGTGTTGCCAGATATGAGTTATCCAAATCTGTGCAGCAGTGCCAAGAGCGACATAGGTGCACGGAATAATAAGGCGAGGGCTGCTTTTGCCAGTTTGCGAAATGTATGGAGAGCGAATCAGATCAGTTCAAGCACCAAAATCCGAATTTTTAACTCGAGCATGAAGCCTATACGCCAGTGAAACATGGCGTACACTCAGACACTGCAGGTGTTTATCAACCGATGCCTGTGGTACATAATTCGTTTCTGGTGGCCCCACAATTGGATCTCAAATTTCGAGCTTCATCGTTTGTGCCATCAGAAGCCGATAGAGACAGAAATTCGTGAACGGAAGTGGAGGTGGTCAAATTACCTAGTTGACCGATCCTTTTCAAACTTTCAGACAATAAAATATAACCCATTAGTAAGCTTTTGGCATATTAATTTCATTCAACTTCAAAACCATAACCGTACGCTCGCACCTTACGTTCGACTCCACTCATTAGGTTCTGTACAACATCTGGCTGCAGCTTCTTCTGTACGGAAACCCACTTTTCTTCATGTCTTCCTCAGATTTGACCTCCTTGGGATGCTTCCGTAGTGCCTGATTCATAATAGCCCAGTATTTTTCGGTGGGCCTTAGTTCCGGTGCGTTGGGGGGTTATTGATATTGATACGAAATTTATTGCTTTTTGATAAAACTAAGTTTTTAACATTGTTTAGGAAATTTCACTCAAAATTACAAAAAAAAAAAAATACCATTCTGATTCGTCATTTGGCGTAGAACTGTTCATTTGAATTCTGCGATTGTGAAATTTGTAAGTGGATTGCTTGGTAAAAACTAATGCAAACGAATGGATACATACTATATACTACTGTTTTTTTCTTAAATTCTCAGAATTTTGCTGATGTTCGTACATATTCTCAGGAGTTATCAGCATATTCTTAAAGTTTTCTGACCTTATCTAAAGTGCTCAGATTTTTCCAAAAAATTTCTGATTTTATCTGAAGTCATCAGAATATGTCTGTAGTTTTCTGACCTTTTCTG